CCTTTTTCAGGTAATGTAGCTTATGGAATCTGGCCATTAGCTTAAATTATTTTCACTGTAATATTACTTAAATGTTTACAACTACAAGACTGATCGTATGTTTCTGTCTTAGTCTGCTCGGGCTGTCATAACAAAATACCACAGACTGAGTCGCTTAAACAACAGAATATATTTCCTCACAGATCTGGAGACCAGAAGTTCACGGTAAAGGTGTCAGCAGGATTGGCTGCATTCTGGGGCCTCTCTCTTTAGTTGTGAACAGCTACTTTCTCGCTGTGTTTCCATGTGGCCTTTTCTCCATGTATGAATAGAGAGTGAAAGAAATGTCTAGAGTCTCTTCCTTTTCTTATAAGGACACCAGTGGGTCCCACCCTTATGATCTCATTTAACCTTAATTACCTCCCCAAACATCCTATCTCCAAACGCAGTCACATTAGGAGTTAGGACTTCAACCTATGAATTTGGTAGGGAGGTAATTCAGTCCATAACAATTTCTTATGATATTATTCTTATACAACTATGAAAGCAAAATTAATTTACAAAGTACATACAAACAACATTCCCAAGTCAATAAAATGAATTACATTAATTTAGTGTGATGGCTTTTTCTCCAAGACTAAATAGCTGGTATTAAGTTTAATAGTAGAAAAATGGAAACTCAGGTCTGATTCTATTTTGACTCTTATCTGCATTCTGATTTGTAGAACTCTATTGCCTAAGCTTCTTGTTCACATAAGCATACAGTACACAATGTTATAACCTCAAGACTTTGATCAAAAGGGCTCAGGTATATATATATATATATGGGGAAGAAGTGAGGGAGAGAGGGGGAAGAATAAAGGAAGAAGGGAGGGAGGGAGGAGAGAAAGGGGGAGACATAGGAAAAGAGAAAATTTGCATTAAAGATGGTTATCATTTTTTTCACTCTCTCCAAAATAACACCTTTAATAAGAAAAAAATTAAAAGTTCCTCAACCTGCCCGACCGGGCGTGGCTCAGTGGTTGAGCGTCGACCTGGGATCCAGGCGATCGGGGTTCGATTCCCGGTCAGGGCACATGCCCGGTTGTGGGCTTGATCAATGACTCTCTCATCATTGATGTTTCTGCCTCTCTCTTTCCACCTCCTTTCCTCTCTCTGAAATCAATAAAGATATATTTAAAAAAAAAAAAAAAGTTCCTCAACCCACCTCCCTGATATGACCGACATAAGCAATCCAACTCAAAATCACTGCCTTAATGTCTAATCTTAGCTAAGTCATCCTACCTCTTTTGCTTCAATTTAATCTCTTATAAAAATTAATTAAAAGTGTGAAAATGACACACTGCTGAGACTGTAAAAATATGTGTGAAATGGCAAATAACCAAAATAACCAGTGATAGAGAATTCCTTAGATAAATTCTGGTGTAAACATACAGTGAATACTATGTGGGGATTTTGTTATAGTATATTTAACAGTGTGTAAGATGTCCATGATATATTAAGTGAAGGAAGCAAGTTACAAAGGGGTATGAAAAATGTGATACAAGAGCACTCCAGTCATACTGGCTTTTTAGTTCCTCAGAGAAGCCATAAGCCCTCCACCACAGGGCCTTTGCATATGCTGTTTCTTCTTTCTAAAATGCTCTTCTGACCTCTTTACCCAGTTAACTGCTTTTTATATCTCAAATCAAAGCCCAACTCCCCCTTAGCACTTATTGAAGTTTATAATTATATATTTTGGTAGTAGTAATGGTAGTAGATTTTAATTACTGTCCATGCCCTAGATTATAAACTCTACAAGGGCAGAGAATTGTCTGCCTTTGCTTACCATTGCATCTCCAGAACCTGGAATATAATGGAAAACCTAATCAATATACTGTATATTGAATGAGCCAAAGTTACTTTTTGTATCCATAAAAATATTATCTTAAAACTATCTTATTACAGAGTTCTCCTATATTTCTGAACCCATGAATGAAAGTCAAATATATTTCAAATTGATTAAATTCAATATGACAACATTTTCCAGATTGATCGAACAGATACCTCATTGTAATTCAAGAACCTTGAAGTCTTGAAATTAAGGACTTTCAATAACGGAGTAGAGGTAGAAATCACACCTACAGGGAATAGTTAGTAATAGAATAGTTGGTAATGTGGGTTCTATATTAAGACAGTAGAATCATATAATAAAGTTCAAGCCTCTTCATTTCATTACAAATTTAAAGCCCAGAGACACAAAGTGAGTCGCTTGGGATTGCACAGTGAGGCCATCAGTAGGGCCTCTTAATCTTGTGCTCATTCCACCACAATGCAAAGGAATGGGATAATCCCTAACTCCAGCAGTGAAATCAGTAGAAGAAAAGGAATAAAACAGGAAGAGAAAATAGTAAGATATTTTAGATATAGAGATATCTGAAAATATCCACTAGGCAGGCATGCAAAGAAGCCCAGAATAACAAAAGACAGGTCTCTCTTGACTTCTCTGCCTAAAGAATCACTTTAAAAAAAAAGTGTGTGTGTGTGTGTCTTGTGTGTGTGTGTGTGTGTTTCCTGATGTGGGATGATCTAGGTGGCACCACTGAGTACCCAGTGTTAGCACAATGCCTAGTACAATGTAGGTGCTCAAAACATATTTGTCAAATGAATGGATGAGTGAACTACATGTTCTTGGTAGAGGCGAAAGGGCACAGGGATTAATAAACTCTGGAGCCAAAGTGTCTGGGTTCAAAAACCCAGCTCTGCCACTTACAGCTGTGTGACCTTGAGCTGGTTACTTATTCTCTGTGCCTCAGGGACCCCCAATGTAAATTGGGGAAAACAATAGTACTCACTTCAAAGGGTTGTTGTGAGAATTTAGTAAGTTAACACAGGAAACACTCTGAACAGTGCCAAGCTCAGTGGCTGTTATTGTTGCAGTTATCCATAAGAGCATGCATTATAAAAAGTCAGACACCCTCAGCAGATAACTTTGTCTCGCACTTAATAAACGTGATCAGGTGCAAACATCCACTTCATGTCAACAAATCTAAAAGGCTTTCTCTGTGCTTACACCACCCCCACCCCCAACCTCATATGGCAGAGGAGCCTCTTATCAGAGTAGGTTTGTCCACTGAGTTCTGGATTCTATCTTGTTTCACCAGGACTGCCAAAGCCATCGTCCATCATCTTCCATCTCTACTTAATTATTCCCATCACATTGCCCAGAGCCTTTCATCTTAAAATACAAACTCCCTGAGGCCCATGTTCCCCCTCAAGCTACCTTCCCTTGTCTTTCAAATAACTCATAAAAAGAATTAACTTTAGACCCCCAAAAAAAGTTTAGAATTGCTCTGCAATTTCAATGCGCATTCTTCCTTTTGCCCCACTCACTGAAGCAGTCTTGTCAAGGTCACTTCCATGCAGGTGAATTACATGGTCCCTTCTCTGTTCTCTCTCAATGGACCTCTTGGCAACATGTGACACACTTGATCATTCGCTTCTCTACACATTTTTCTCGGCTTCCTTTACACGCCCTTCTTCTGGTGTCCCTCCTACCTCACTAACTGCTCTACTCAGGCTGACTGTTTTCTTCTCACCCTACATGATCTCGTCTAGTCTGGTGGTTTTCAAACCCTACAAAATGCTGGTGAGTTCCAAATCCTGTCTCCAGACCTGACTTCTCCACTGAGCTCCAGACTTCCATATCAACTGTTTATTTAATGTCACCTGGATTCCTGATAATAACAGTAATGACACGGGCTTTCTTTTCTCAGAAATGCCAAACTTGTTCCTACCTTAGAGCCTCCAGTTTTGCTGTTCCCTGTGCCTAGAACACCCAGCATATACCTTGGCATTCTTCACTCTATTCAGTTGGATATTCACTCCACCACCTTCTCAGGTGCCCTCTCTGACCACTCCATCTGAAGTAACCCCCAGCCCAGACCCGAGTCTATCGCAGGACCTGTTCTTAGTGTCTTCATAGCATTTGTCACTATTAGAAATCATTTTGTCCATTAATTTGCTTACTAGTTTATGTCCCTTCTCCTTACATCTACTCCTCCAGGAATTTGAGTGCATTGAAAGTGAAAATATCTGCTAAGACTGAGTGCCAGAAACAAAACCTTCATTTTCTAGATAGGAGGGAAACACATTTTGCAGGTGGCATGTTTGTAGAAGGCTTGAGAACATAAAACAATAGCCCCTATTGTGTGCCAGGCATTCAAAGATTCTAGAAATAAGTGGTGAACAGCACAAACAAGGGCCATCCTGGGATGTCTATCTAGCACATAGTGGGTGTTTTATTAAACAGTGGCTGAATGAATCTATTCATTTTAGTTCACAGAAATTACATCTCTGGTTATGAATGGAGGACAATAGAACATTCTCACAAATGTGTATTATTAGTTTTTGAGGAAAAATAGATAAACAATTATAAGGGTTTGGATGTGTATAAGTCAGGGAATTCAGAGGGCACTGGTATTTACAGACCCATGCATGGTGTCACTTACAGGCTAGTGCACTGTTGCTTTATATTCTCAGTCTCTGAAGCCTGTGTTCATGTCTGGCTTCTGATTTACCTGCAAGACGTAAAAAATCCTGCATAACCAGACAACTTGCTTTGGCCATAGAAGAAGTAGCTTAAAAGCATATAAAACGTTCCAGTTATTCCACATATCCATTTGGAAGTAAATTTCTATTAAAAAGGCAAAGGAAAAAAAAATAGGGCAGTATCTTTCCTGGAAAGTTCAGATTCAGAATTGAATTCCTAAGATATAAGTTGCATGGCAATTAGTTCCCAAACAGCATCTCTCCAATTCATTATATGATAATATAGATTATGGTTTTATAGACTGTATTAATACATCTTCAATATCTGATTATTTCCTCATAAAAGGATAGCTGTTTATTAATGATTCTCTTTGAAAACTGTGTTTGATGAGCTCCAACTTTTTTCTCTGAGTTCTCGAATCCCTTTTCCCCCATTCACTCTGTGCTCCCGTTCTAGGTTGGACTAATGAATACATTTGAGAAATCGGAACTTTAGGCAAAGACCCTTTATTTGTGGTTAGGCCTACAATAGTTCCAAAAAGTAAACATAATTCACAAAACACCTGAAAGTACCAGAGGAGATTCTTCAGTATCAGAGGCACCAATCGTAACAGGAAGCCAACATATGTCTTCATGTACAGAGGCAGGTCCGATCCTATCTAATGAACGTGCTGCTTTTTGAGCGCGATGATTGGTAGGAAGGTACAGGAAGAACTGAAGACTGTTCTCCACTGGGCTAGGCAGCCAGGCCCTCTAGGGGTATTATTACAAAGGACATAAGGGTGACGATGATGGCAGCAATGACAACAATCCAGCTGTGACAACAATGTTGAAGTCATCAGCAACAGCTGACCATACCTATAAATTCCTAGGGTGCTTCTACCCAGCAGATCATCTGTCCCTGATCCATTCCTTGGACAGACCACAAAATATACTCTCAGAAAACATAAATGCAATGCATCCAGATGACACTGAAAACACACCAGTACTGGTATTTGCTGATTTGGAAAAATGGTAAGTACTATCGCACCATTTTGGAAATGCGTGAAATCTAAGCTACAAGAAAAATATATTGTTAAAAACCACACACATGGTAAGGCTTTAAAATCTGTGCTTGGCTATATAAGCATTATGAACAAAATTAACAAATAAAAATTTTTATTTTAAAAAAATATTTTGCTTTAACAAAATTATTTTAAGACATATCAAAATCAAATTTTCTGCAAATACCTTTAGAAAACTGAATTATGTAATTAAAACATTAAATGACAGAGTTCTCTTTACAAATAATAAATGTGCTAAATTACTACATATTAAAGATATGATTTGAAAATTAGAGCTATTTCACAGTATTATGTTCAAATTTCATTCTTTAAGAACCCAGGAAAATTGCCAAATCACCGTGCTATCCTTCCAATAGGGTTTCATGGTACCAAAGAAGGGGGGTCTATTCTGAGTCAATAGAGAGTCATTAAGTAACATTCAAAGAAAAATAAGAGCAAAACATCAGGAATAAATTAATGTAATTTACCTCCTGAGACTTCCATTGAGCTCACTGACCTGAATAAAACATGACAACTTTGTCTTTAAATATTGAGGACCCAATTGCCTGGCGGCATCCAGCACACTTTCCTGTTATGAGCAGGTAAAAAAGGGCTTCAGGGAGAAACAGAATACAGAAGAACCACTAAAGAAATAAAAAGTTCCTGCAGAAGACTTCTCTTTTTATGAGGCACAAACAGAAAAAGAGATAAAACATAACAAGATTATAGACTACAGGGGATTTCATAGTTAGACTCTTATGATGTTCCATGAATCATCCTTAGTATGGCATTATTCCTACCAGGTGACCAGAAAATAACTTTCACCATCAACAATACAGTTAAAAAGTTCACACCATTGCAATATCCATGTCAATCGATGTTCTCTCTCTATGCACGCACATGTGCACGCGCGCACACACACACACACACACAGAGTCACATCTCTCCGGTCTCATGCGCAACCGAAACCTTCATTATAATGAAGAGAAGGAACAGGAAGACTTCTGGTACCATTTATTTTCCCATGACAGTCAAAAAGCTGATGTGTCACAGCTTGAAAAATGTGCAGGAATCACTGTGTGGTACAACAATGCAGAATGCAAAAGAAAGTGATTTTTCCCAGAAAAAAAAAACACCTATTTCCCCTATGACTCCCTTTCCTCCCCCCTCAAAAAATACCACAAACAGGATTTCCACTGAGAGTCAGGAAGCTTCCGTGGCACATGAGAGTAGCATGTTCACAGCACACAGCACAAAGTCTCTGCTTCTGTTTCCTGCCCAGACTGTGCTCCCAGGCCCCCAGGCTTTATAACTCATCTTTAAAGCCTTTTTGTGTCTCTGGCCTGGCTTTGTGTTCCTTGCTGGGTGCCAGCCACGTAACATAAACCTTCACTGGGTCAATGTTCCAGTGTTTGTGGAAGGATATGGGAACCTGGTGAGAAAGGTAGTCCTGGGGGTAATCCACAGGCCGGGCCTGCAGGAAGAAAAGAGAATTAGGCTCGTTCAGTCACTGAGAACTCTTTTGTCCCAGAATAGCATGTGAATGTATGAAACAATTGCGTTTCTTCAACATCTGATATTTGTTATGGGAATCTAAAGCAAGAAGGAAAATCTGTTCCACTAAAACTTTCCTTCTCACCGTATGCTTGTAGCCTTTGTGTCTCCAGTTACTTAAATGCCCCAAATCCATCACTTTTTGCTTCTATGTTCCACAGTTAAGCCTCCGGGAGATTGTTCAACCACTTCCATAGTAAATCATTTTGGTTACTACTGTGACTTCTGCAAAAAGGCAGAAAAATGTGCCTCAGGTCTGTCTAAAGAAACTCCACCCATACACGGCTGTGTGGGCTGGGGCAGGGCATTCTCAGGGCTCCCTTTGCCTGTCTCCTGCTGACATGTCATTAGGGATGCTGCCTCTTTCAGAGGAGGGAAGGTGGAGCTAAGTGACTTGCTCTCCTCCTACCTAAATATCTCGTCTGGCTCCAGAAGTGTGGATGGACATTTTGTGTAACCCAGAATGGTTTACAAGAGCCTAAAAAGTTTTTGCATTATCAAAATTTCAAAATTCTCTAAACTTCTGAAGTGAAATTTAAGTAGAATCAGATACAGGCTAGATTGACAAGACTGAACAAGTAACCTACAGGGTTTGGAAGGAAACTGAACCAGATCCTGTTTTGTTTGCTCTAAACAAAGCATCCACCTTCTCTCAATGTTCATCTTGTTTATAAATTTATATAGCCCATCTGTGTTATACAGTAACTCCGTGGGTTAACAGTACTGAGAGTCTTGACTTTAGTAAGACTAAAAATTACACATTTTAAGAACAAGTCTTCTCAAGGCTAGTATTTTATTACATTCTGCTTAAATTTTTGATGACTATTTAAACTCTTGTGAATGGTTCATGGGATACCTTCATTAAAATTTTATTTCATCTAGTCCTTGAAACAACCTTGCAAGATAATCAGATTATCATGACTCGTCCTTAATTTATAGATGAGGAAACCAGAGCTCAAAGAAGCTGTGACTTCCTTGGGGTAGTATGACGAGCAAATTTTGGAACGGGGGCAAGGGCCCAGTTGCTAGTCCAGTGTCCTACCAGGACACCTGAGCTGGTCCTCAGTGCACAGGCCTGGCACATCACCTGTGCTTTGGCCCCGGCCTCTCTGGGAGGCTGTGAGGTGGTAGCACACATACCCTGCTCAGATGAATGTTCAAACAGTAATACCTGCGAGGAGGAGTTCAAAGTAGGGGGAGAACCTTCACACTGGCCATTGTATTGCCCTTTAAAAATTCTAAACACTCATTGAGTTAAACATTTTAAAAGGCAATTTAAAAGGAAAAGACAGTGAGACAGCAAAAACATACCAGAGTAAAGTCTAATTGAATTGGTAACATTTTGAATATTAGCTGAGGGAATTCATGAATTGTGCAATGATTATTAGCGAGGCACTCTGAGAGTTTGCTGGCAGGGAGGAAACCCTAGGAGAACCATACTCCCAATTCAGTTATCAGATAATCTCACAGTGGCTCCAAAGAAAGAAATCTCACATTTAAAAATGAAAGTTGGGAGATACAAATATGTCTAATAAGAAGAAAAGAAATCCATAATATCTTTCACTTTATTTACTTATTTCTTGCAAAATCAAAAAGCTGACAACTCTATTTGTTTCTCCAAGTTAATAAAAGAAAATCATTTTATGGATCCACAAACTTCTAAAGTCTGAGGCCACCCCTGTCTTTCCCTCTGTTAATGTAGACTGGAAGTGATAACTGCTTCTTAGGGGCTCTGTATGCAGGGAAGAGCTGGCCTAACAAGCACTAGAAGGTGTAATCATGTCTGATGAGGCCACAGAAAAGAATGGGACAAAACTAGAAAAGTGAAATGCATCCAAGAGGCATCTGTAACATCAAGAAGTCTATATACCCTCTAATAATCACATCTCTGTGCCCAAAATGCCACAAGGAAACCCCAAATGGGCAGGGTCAGCAGGCGTGAGGAAGGCCTTCAGAGCAGATGTGCAGGAAAAGACAAAGGGCTTAGACTACTCGAGGATATAAATTGGGCAAAATTAAAATCTTTTATCTGTAAAGATTATAGTACACCAAACAGTATAACAAATGGAGATTAAAATTGTATTTCCTTAGGCATACATACATGTGTTACAGCTGCACTGAGGTATAATTTACATACACACAATTATTACACAGAAATGGCAGTTTGAAAATTTTTGGTAAATATCTAGTTAGGCAACCACAAATCCAGTTTTAGAACACTTTAATTTCCTGGCAAGTGTTTGCAGTCAATCCCTGCCCCTGCTGGCAGACCCAGGAAACCTCTGATTTGCTTTTTCTCTATAGTGTTGCCTTTTCTAAACTTCGTTATCAGTGGAATCATATAGTATGACTAGTTTGTGCCCGGCCTCCTTCACTTAGCATAGTTACGTGTATCAGTGGTTCATCCCTTACTGCTGAGCAATACTGCATTGTGTGGCAATACCACACAAAGAACACATATTTCTGATCACACAGCTTTTAAGGGTCAGGAATCTGGACACAACTAGCTGGGAGCTCAGCTTCACAGTCTCTCATGAGATTGAGGCTCTGTGGTCTCATCTGAGGCTCAATTGAGAAAAGAGCCCCTCCCAGGCTCACTTGGTAGTCATGGTAGTATTCAGGTCCTTGTGGGCCAGTGGACTGAGGGCATCACTTCCTTGCACCCAGGGCAGCTTGCTTCACCAAACTGCAGGCCAAGAAGGTGACAAGGAGAGTCACAAGGAAGATGGAAATCACAACCCTTTGTGACCTAATTACAGAAGACACGTCCCATCACCTTCGCCATACTCTACTGACCCAGCTCAAGAGGAGGGAATTATACAAGGGCGGGAATAGCAGCAGAAGGGGATCATTGAGAGCCATGTCACAAGTTGCCTACCATGTGTATGTTTAACTTTGAAAATATTGTCAGAATGTTTCCAAAGTGACTGTCTTTTAAGTTGCCACTAGCAATAGATGAGAGATCCAGTTTTCCATATTCTCATTAACACTTGGTATGGTCTGTCTTTCTGCTTAGCCATTCTAGTAGACGGATGGTGGTGCCTCATACAGACTTTAGTTTGCATTTCTCTAAAGACTGATAATGTTGAGCATCTTTTCATGTGCTTGTTAGCCATTCATGTATCTTCTTAGTGAAATGTCTATTCAAATCTTTTGCCCATTTTATACTGCATGGATTGTTTTCTGATTTGAGTTGTAAAAGACTGTTACATATTCTGGACATAGGTCCATTATCAGATATATGAATTGCCAAGTATTTCTCCCAGTGTATGACTTGGATTTTTATTTTATTTTCTTAATGATACCTTTTGAAGAGCAAAGTTAAAAAAAAATTTATGAAGTTTAATTTGTGAATTTTTCTTTTTATGGGTCATGCTTTTGATGCCATAAGAAATCTTTGCCTAAACAAAGATCACAAAGAATTATCCCTATGTTTTCTTCCAGACATGTATAGCTTTAGCTCTGATATTTTGTACTATGATCCACTTTGAGTTAATTTTTGTATATGGTGTGGGGTAAAGTTCGATGTGGATATAGAGCTTGTTCTGGCACCATATGTTCCACTCCTTACTGGTTGCTTTGGCATCCTTACCATAAATGGGAGGGTTTATTTCTAGAATCTCTATCCTGTTCTATTTTTTTATCTTATACTAATTTCATATTGTCTTGATTATTGCAGCTTTATAGTAAGTTTTGAAAACCTGCAAGTGTAAATACTCGAATTTTGATCTCCTTTTTAAAAACTGTTTTGTGTTTCCTTATACACTTTAGAATCAGATTGTCAATTTTTATAAAGTAGCCTGTTATGATTTTCATATGGATTTCACTGAATCTTTAGATCAACTGGGGGAGTGTGGGGAAAGAAAATTTCCCTGAACTTGTTTTCATGTTTAAAAAAAAAAAAGCTTTAGCCCACTAAAAACATCTCATATCCCAGGAGAATCAGATCTGTCTAATTAATTGCTCTGATCCAAAATGGCAGTAAAACTTGCCTTATCTTTTAGAGAAGGTGAATGTTTACTACATCCTTGCTCTAGTCCCTAGGTCAAACCCCAAGGTGCCAGGAAGACCTGAACACTAACACCTAGGGATAGATTTACATTTCAAGAAGGAATGAGGTCCCTGGAGAGATTTTCTTTGCATACTTAAAGGGAAAAGTGAAAGCAGCCCTCTTTACTTTTATAAGCAGAGAAAACAATTTTTCCTTGCACCTTGCCTATGGGTATCTGCCTACTTGTATAGGACAACTGACCTGGCTCTCATCATATTGCCCTAGAGGGAAAAAACAGGTCAGAAGGGCAATGGGGGAGGGGTTCAAGGTGTGCTTATTATTTACTGTGAGGAATTTCATTTAAAAATCTCTCTGACCCAGAACATTTCATGCATTAGTTACATTTAGAATGTAACTAATAAAGTTAATTTTAAATAAATAAATAAATAACATTTATTTAAGATAAATTTTTAAAAATCAACAGTGAAAATTTCTATCATAGCAATATCTAGTTTTCCAATCTATAAAATATGGGTATTTACACATATACATATTTTTCTTCTCTTAATTATATTTATATGCACATATATACACATATGTATATATACATACAAACAAATGCACACTCTTTTATATTTTCCTTCATCTTCACCTCTTCCAGTTTTCTTCATTCCTTCTGATATATTCCAATTACCATATAGTGTCAGATCCTTTCAGCCCAAAGGATTTCCTTTAGTTTTTCTTGCAGGGAATGTCTACTAACAAAGGATTCTCTCACTTTTTGTTTATCTGGGAATGTCTTTACTCCACTTCCATTGTGGAAGGAAAGTTCTACTGGATATAGAATCACTGGGTGATTAGTTTTTTCCTTTCTGCCTTCAGGCTTTCATTATTTCGAATGAAAAAATCAGCCAATAATCTTATTTTTTTGTTTTCCTTTTCATTAGGCTTTTTGATGGTTTTAAGGTTTTCACTTCTTCACTGTCTTTCAACAGTTTGACTATAACATGTCTATGTGTGATTCGTTTTATGATTATCCTACGTGAGCTTTGTTGAGTTCCTTGGGTCTATAGATTAATGTTTTCATCACATTTGGGAAGTTTCAACTTTCTTTTCTTCAAAAAACAAGGTCTTTTTCAATTCTCCTCTCTTTTTTCAGTACTCTCATTAAGTGTTTGTTGGTATACTTTATGGTTCACCCATGTCTCTGAGGAGGCTCTGTTCATTTTTCCTCAGTCTTTTTTCTCTCTGTTCTATAGATTAGGTAACTTCTATTGGTTTGTCTTCAGATTCACTGATTGTTTCTTCTGCCACCTCAAATCTACTGTTAAGTCCATCTAGATAATGTCTCATTTCAGTTATTAGGTGTTACAATTCTAGAATTTTCACTTGGTTCTTTATCATAGTTTCTATTTTTCTATTAAGATTTCCTATTTGTTGAGTCATTGTCATATTTTCCTTTAATTCTATGTACGTTGCTTGCTTTAATTCTGTGCCTATAGTATTATTAACTTCTTTTAAGTCTTTGTCTATCAATTCCAGCATCTGGTCCCACTCAAAGTCAGTTTCTATTGACTACATTTCCCCCTAAGTATGTCTCTTTGCTTGTCTCACGATAATTTGTTGGAAACTGGTTATTTTAGATAAGGTGTTAGAGCAACTCACGAATCTGTTTACCTTTACTACTTTTTTTTAAGTAACGTCTGGACCTACATTGTGGAATCTTTCTTCCTGCAGTGTGTGGCTGCTGGTATCTCCACTCAAGTTAATTTTAATTTTTTTGTGTGGCTTGCTATAAGTTATCCCTATACCTGAATATTTTAGTAGTCAACTTATGATACAGGCAGAGGTTGCACTCAAACATCTCGAGCCCAAAGGGCTTCTATCAGTGTGTGGGAAAGCACATTTAAAGCTTCAGTGGGTTTTCAAATATGTTTTGGCTTTTACTTTCTGCTAGGCTCATCCACGGTCCCATGAGTGTGCACAGTTTCCTAGCAGGCCAAGAACTGTGGCGAGTTTTCCTAGCCATACTCTTGCTCTCTTATTTCCAGGGTATTAGGAATTACATTTTTGGCTAATACACCCTTCACTGTATCTGAGATTGCAACTTTGGACCAGTAAAGGTGCAGGTTTTTCTTTTTTGTTTCCTATCAAATTTGACAATTTTAGTTAACAATTTTAGTTTCATCTCTCCCTCCCCAAATCAAGTCTACCCACTCTGACAGCAAAGCTGGAGTGCTCTCCATTCAGGCCCATACTGGTAAAACTGGGGGGACTTCAGGCAGAAAGAGCTCAGGAGGCCTCAGATACTATTGTTCTTACCCAAAACTGTAGCAGTTTTTCAGCAGTAAATGCTTCTCAATGCTTTTGGTTGATTTTCAGAGTCTGGAAATGTTTATTCGGACAATTTTGTGCACATGGTTCACTGGCCATTGTATGCTGCCATACCCATTAGTAGCATATAAAAGAACAGAAAACCACATGCTCTAAAAACTTTATTTTTAACAAAGGGATATATACTAGGATAGACGGTCCTCGAAGCTCCTTTCTAAACCTATAATTTCACCATAACCTGCCCTGACTAAAAAGAGAAGGGAAGTGGCCCAGGCAACTTTGCATCTGGGACTGCTTCCAAGTGCCCACAGTACCTCTAAGTCATCAGGAATCCTAGATTTTCTCTCTTTGCCTCCTATCTCTTTCTCAATATGAATAAATATAGTATTTGGATCAGTGTGCACACCTCACAAATGGAAAGTAATATCCAAATCACAGCAAACTCTCTAAAAAGGGCTTAAGAAAGGCATCGCAGTACCTGTTGTGAGGTCAGGGTTTAAATACATTTTACAATTTTGGAAAGGCTTAGAATTTATTATGTGAACTACAGAAATAAAGAGTTTTAAAATGCAGGGAACAACAAATTTTTTTTTTTTAATTATCTTCAAAGGACTTTCACTTCAGGATAATTTTCCTTCTTTCTTTTCTCCTTATCATTTTATTTACTCATGTATTCTTTCTGTAAGTGAAAAACTGTGATAAACATCCAAGACATCATATTAACAATAAGTTATTTCCCTTACACCCCAACAGTTTTAAACACCCTTCCTTTTTCTATGAGAGAAACTTGAGATCGAGCGAGAGAGAGCCAGAGAGAATAACTTGCTTTTCTAAGTCATCATAACACCACACACAGACTTAAAGTGGGTAAGACCGCTCAAGGTTTTAAAAGATGGCTAAGTACCTTCTGACTGGTACCAGGAAGGAGGTTTCTCAATACATTTCTTATTATTAAAGGTCTATCTTTATCCTTCCTTGTGGTTTGCAAAAATGCAGAAATGGATTCTGCCTTTTTGATGATGCAAACACCTTCTCTGCCTTGTTCGTGTTACTTTCTATAGTGCTATTTCTGTCATGCTCAATTTTCTAGACTGCTATGATAGCATTTGCTGCTGGTTACTAAATAAAGCAGAAACATTAAATTTTCACTCTAAGGGAGGGCACTTAAGATACACGCATTCCTACATTTCAAATTTCAAAAAGCTTTGCATTTCTTCAAGAAGAGCACTAAATGGCTGTGGGCTTTGCTTATTTTTAGAGCAAGTATATCTGCTATTATTCTTACAATTCCAGGACATCCACTGACCTGATTCTTAAAAAACTACTAAAAATAAGGCAGAAGAATTCCCTTTTCCAGCCCTAAACTGCAGTATGGTGAAGCTACTAGCACCAATCATCCTTGGTAAACATCATCTTGTCTCTTCTTTTCTATGACCCCCAGAATATATACTTATTGAGATTTTTAAAGTTTAGCCACTCAGTTTAATAGCAACCAAAGGGGGGAAAGCCCAATAAAAAGGCAACCAATGGACAGTACAAAAATGGAGGGCAGTATAGAACGAGACATTTGGTGGCATGCAGGACAATACTACATCAGTCCTATATATTTCTAATAATTCTTAAATGCCATCAATTTTTTAACTCAAAAAAAGGGGGGAGGGGAGAGAATAGCTTTTCCACAGTGCTAAAGGCAAGGGGTACTGGTCAAACTCCATTTCATTTTCTAGGTTTCTGCCTTCCATTTCATGCTGTCCGTGGTATCAACCCTGTGGACAAACTGGTCAGTCTGAATGCCTGCAGAGCCTGTCCATGCCCTTCTTAAGACTGTTTCCCGAAAAATATGTGAAGGGAAAGAAGGAGAATCCTTTAGTGAGAAGAAATCCTCCTTTCTCCCTCTGAGGTAGAAATAAAATCCATTTCCTCACCTGATGGAAGAGAGGGCTGTGTGTCACAGGGATTCCCAGGCCGCTGAAGCACATCCCCAGGACCATGTCATCGGGCGCATCATTGCTGTAGCAACGACACTTACTGGCGAGAAGTCTCCGGATGGCTTCTCTGCTGAAGACCATTCTAGCGGGAAGTCAGAGTAGACAAAGGGGTTAGAGCCAATCCTTGAAACCATTAATCCGAGTAAAGAAATGTCATTCTGAGGCCACACTTCTGACAAAGAGAAAAGACACTGACATCAGCAGTGTTGTATATTTAATATAAATTCTGGGGAAAATGTTTTTGTGCTTTCTATGAAAGGGAAATCACTTATCTATCTAGTAGGTAGTTTTATTTCTTTATCGATTTCTTGCTAATATTATGCCATGTTCTTTTCCTATATGCCACTGGGGACTGGAATTGTTCTTTAGTTCCAAAAATCTCAGTGAGATCAATAACAAAATCTACCCATACTCCCAGCAGGTAGATGGGCCCAGAAAAACTAGGTACCCCAGAAAAAATACAGGTGATAACTGACAATCAGATCAAATCTAAGTCTACAGAAGCTTCCACAACATGATTTTGAGAAAGTGAGAAAAGAAAAGAGAGGGAGGAAGAGAGATTCTTGATTTGCCTAAAACAGTGCTCTGAAGGTTCTTGATCTGATGTGTTGGGTACTTTCTGGTGAAACTCACATCCACTCCTGCCTTTCCAGGCTCCCTCACCAGCCCATTCTGGCTTCCTTCTTACAACAAGGGTACAACCCTGGGGGAGGCCATCTGCCTCTGGCTCAGGTGGTCTCTGGGGGCAGGGGCAGGGGACAGTGGGCAGCCATAGGCTCCAGCAGAACCTTGGTGGCAGGTCCACAGCAGTAGTGAGGAGCCAGTCCTGAGTCTGGCTCACAGGCAGCACTGTGACAGACAGCAGCAGCTACAGCAGTGCACACAGATGGGCTCCACAAAACAGCACCTGCTTTGCTCCTCCAGCCGTAGGAGCAATAACAGCTTTCTACAGTTACCAACCTCTAGGTAAAGCCACTGAGCCCTTTTCCAACACTTTGTACCAAGTTCCTGAAATAAATTCTCCCCCGTTTAACATACAGATTGGTTTCTGGTTTCCATTCTGCTCCTAGAGTGGTAATGGATCATCTCCTGTCATGAATAACACAACAGTGATAGGGCTAAAGGGACGGATATGGTTCGCAACTTCATTCCCAACAAGCAATGGCACTCTTGAAAGCAAAACTGTCTAAAATTTATCCATATATTCCCACAGCTGAATATTGGGCCTCGCACACAGTAAGCACTCAATAAAAGTTTGATGCATCAAACAAGTAAGAACAAAGCTCCTTTGCAAAGATCTTGAGGGAGGAAGAGTACAACGGCTCAGTCTAGTAGGAAGGGAAAAGCTTGGACATAATCACTGATGCAAAAATGTTGATTCCATGCTCAGCTGGGCTCAGCTCAGAGCAGTTTAACTAATGTGAGTGAACAAGCGCTGGAAACACAAAACGGAGACACTCTCCCAGCCCTTGCAAGGATGTCAGAAGGCACAATGAAATATGACCAGACAGGAGGGAAAAAAAGCTATTTATTTAAGATTATACAAGAAAATGTGGCTATACGAGAAGAACTATACCAAAAGGAAAACTGCAAGTTTAAAACTCATCATAAATTGTCTTTCTCAAAGAAAATCTAGTGTCCACTTGTGACCCTGGACCTCACATGTGCATGGCTGTCAAACTCCAGCTCATCTCACTGACCCCAGGAAAAGGGCCTATGTGAGGGGACACATGTGCACTATAAGCAGACAGTCCCCTTAAACGCCACCTATCTGATGCCACATCAAGGAAGATTTCCTAAGTACACTTGTATTCCAATCAGAGTTGTGATCTTGCTCATTGTCAAGCCAACTTAAACAAAAATGCTTCATTTTTTTCCTTTTGCCAACATCTAGTAGAACAACAAAGAGNAAGATTTCCTAAGTACACTTGTATTCCAATCAGAGTTGTGATCTTGCTCACTGTCAAGCCAACTTAAACAAAAATGCTTCATTTTTTCCTTTTGCCAACATCTAGTAGAACAATAAAGAAGAGAAAAGCCTTTTATTTGGGCCCACTCTCTAGAAAATTAACTTTACAGGAAGACAAAATGTGAGCGTGAAATATTTATTAGTGTTTTTATTTGTGCCTACTCACACAGAGCAGTCCTACATCCATTATTCACATAAACTGTATACACAGGGCCTTTAATAACACCTGTTTATTAGAGTGCTGATGGGTTATTTCAAAACAAAGGTGCCTCCAAAATGGAAAATTGCATTATCCATGGTGTGTTTGCTGTCTGTCAACTTTTAAATATTGAAAAAATGTTGAAAGGCAATAAGACTATTAATGTGATTTCCTTTAATAGATAATATACTAATTTTAAAAATAAGAAAAACTGAAATAGGAGGCAGGGACTTGCCACAGCAAGTCAAGAACACACGCAGAAGATACAGCACCTTGGGTTGGGGAAGTGGAGGAGGGTAAGGGGGAATTAATGTAATGACCAGAGTCTTGACTTGGGGTGGTGAACACACAATACAGTGTACAGATGATGTGCTGTAGAATTGTGCACCTGAAACTTGTATAACTTTGTTAACAAGTGTCATCTCAATAAATTCAATAAAAAGGAAAAAAGAAGATAAAGCACCTCAGAAACATGACCTCCATCCCCACCATCTTCCAGCAGATGAAAAGTCATGGCCTCTCTGGGAAACACTGCCCTAGGCCTCTTCCCAAGGAAGTTGCCAAAAAAAATCATGCCATCCTGATCACAGCTCCCCCCGCAACATGTATAAATAAGTATTTTCAAAACAGAAGTTACTGAACCAATTGTTCCCAAATACCCAAACTTTAAGGAGTAAGCAAAAAAGCAGAAGCCCAACACCTGGATTCAAATAGTGTGCAGTGCACTGGTCTCATTCCCAAACAATATAGAAAACCTATATGTAAATCACAAAAAACCTATACTGACTCAGCTCTGACCAGTGGGGCTTAGGGAGAAGGTTTCGGGCAGTGCTTTTCAAAAACTTACTTGACTATAAACCACTAAGAGAAAACAAGAAACATATTTGATATTGCAACAATTTGTGGGTATGTATAAAAAGGAAATAAAAATCTCACAAAACAATACTAGCCTTTAACTACATGTGACATACTATAATATTCCTAGTTTATTCTACTCCATTCTATATTTCATTATTTTAAAGTGATGGTTATGACCTTTGGTTTTATGAGCCATTAATTGATCCTGACTTGCTGTTTAAAGAAACATGTTGGTTTTTTAACAAGACCATCAGAAAGTCTAAGTAATACTAGAAAAACTATTCAACACTGAGTCTGCCAATTTTATCAAAGGTTGACATGAGAAAATCTCACAAAGAATATTTCTGCATCTTTGTAAAAGTGCTATTAACAACAGACTAGTACACTGGCCGATGTTAATTCTGTAAAGATCAAAGCCCAGTGATCTGCATCTGTTTACTCCATTCCTTATTCACTGCACATTGTAAAAAAATTGAGTCCTATGCTAGGAAACAAGACACAGGCACTACCTTCAAAGAATTCATAATTTAGGTGGAAAACAGAAAAGTAAATAGGCAATTAAATGATAATGGTTTGCATAATATGCCACGAAAGTACATCAGAAAGGCATCAACACAGATTTGAGAGGTTAGACCAGGCTGAAGGCTTCCAGGAATAAATAAATGACAATATCAAGTCCAAAAGAATGAAAAGGAGCCCTGGCCAGTGTAACTCAGTCATCAGAACACCGGCCTGTAAACCGAAGGGTCGCAGGTTGGACTCCCGGCAGGGGCACCTACCTGGGCTGCAGGTTTGATCCTCAGCCCCGCTCGGGGCGTGCGCGGGAGGCAGCCGATCAATGAGTCTCTCTCACATCTCTCTCTCTCCCCCTCTTTCCCTCCCTTTCTATAAAAATCAATGGTAAATCAANACATCTCTCTCTCTCCCCCTCTTTCCCTCCCTTTCTATAAAAATCAATGGAAAAAATACTCTTGGGTGAGGATTAACAGCAACAACAAAGAATGAAAAGGATTAGCCAGGGAACAGGGGCAGAACAATGCTATACAGAGAACAGCAGATGCCATGTCTTGGGGGGAAAGGGAGAAGCCAGGCCCCTGAGGAACTGAGATAAATTCAGCATGAATTCTTGAAGTTGGAGAGTATGGATGAATGAGGCATCTGCCAAGCTCATGAGAGGCCTGGTGGCCTTGATGTGGAGTATGGAGGCACTGGGAGGTTATAAAAGCAAGCAAAAGACTTTCACTCTCGTGGTAATGCAAAGAACAAAATCACCATAACATAAGGAATTTTTGAAGAGATGGATGATATGAATGAAACCCAGATGAATTAATTCCTAAAGACACGCATACTTCAAAAGTGGAAATCAAGCCGCGGCAGCTTTCGGGGCAATGGGCGTAGGGGCAGGAAGGTGGAAGAAAAGACTTGCCAGAGATTCTGGCCCCAATGTCCTCAGGAAACCTGGGAGGCTGTGGATTAGGCAAACTCAAGGTGATTAAAATGAGGCCTTATCTTGTTGAAATCTGAATGATTATCTCCTAGTCTTAAAGGCCAAAAGTAAAAAAGGGTTCACATTCTTGGGGAAAAATCAAAGCAATGGAAAGCTAGTGAAGGCCTCTGAGCAGAAGGCGAAGATCAGATATGCTTTGAGAAAGGTCTCTCTGACTACAGTGTGGACAACAGCATGGAGAAGTAGGGAGACCAGGAGGCTGTGTGGCAGGAACCCACCACACAGGAGATCATGGTAGCCTAGATTAGAACTGTGGAGGTACAAAAAGAGAGATATTTAGAAGATAAAATCCACATGACTTAGCAACCCAGTCAACTGCAGAGTGGAGGGGAATGAAGAAGAGGAAGGGTAAGAGCTGACTCACAGATTTCTGGGGTAGGAACTGGCATACACTGATGTCTGTCTTTCCTGGAAGGGAAGGACCACTGGAAGGACACAAAAATAGGGGAACAAGTCAGAAACAAGGAGGTCAGTATGGGAGGTGTTGAGTTTAATGTGCCCATGAGTCATCCCAGTGGAGATGTCCTTTGGTAAGTGGACATCTGAATCAGGAGGTCAAGAAAGTTCCAGGCTGGGGATAGAAATTGGGGTGCTCTCAGCACACAGACATGGGGGTGGGTGAGATCAATGAGAGAGTGAGAGGAAGAGAGGCTAGAAAAGATGACTGGAACATGGACATTTAGGGGATAAAAGGAACGGAGAAGGAATGAGCAGAAAGAGAAATATACAACAGGAAGGTAAGAGAAACAGTCAACTTCATCAAAGGCTACTCAGAGGTTAAAGAAAATAAAGCCTGGAATGGATCCATTTGATTTGGCCATATGGATCACAGATAATGTACTTTAGGTAGAAGGCCAGAGACTTTGCCCCAAGTCAGATGCAGGTCAGGTGGTAGTGGGACCCAGGAAGTGGAGGAGTGAGAGTCGTGAATTCTTAAGATGTTTTCAAGGGGAGAAGAGAGATGCTGTGGTAACAGGAAGAGGTTTTAAGATGGGAAAACTGGAGGTGTCAGAAAAGATAGTAGCAAGGTAAAAGTTCAACATGTAGGAGGCTAAAGGTGTCACCTCGATGGTTTAGCAGTACCTGCCCAGGCCAATCCAGCAGTGGCCTGGGAGCTGGCATCCCCAGGGCCAGCCCAGTGCCTGTCACACACTGGCTTTTTGACTGAATGACCAATTAACGAGCAGTGAAAGGAAATGCAGGTAGTTAAAGCAAAACCCAGTTTCAAAAGGCCTCTAGTGCCAGTCTCAGAATAACAGCCAAATCCAATAGGCAAGGAAGACAAGAGTCTGCTTACAGAATTCACAACTCACACACAAAAAGTCACTTCTAGGTTAAAAGTGTATTAACACCTTTGTGCTACAATATATATATATAAACCCCAAATATATAAACCCATATACAAACATCTTTCAGAAGTGGAAAGTTCTTGCTTAACAGGTACCTTGATCCTTAAGTGGCCCAACACTTCACCCAGAAAACTAAATGCATTACCATAAGGCTGCAAAGAGCTTAAACATTTTTTTTTTTTTTTTAATGAAGAGGTGAGAATTCCTTGGCCTTACCTTATATTGTCTTTTCAAAGGCCTGTGTGGACCCCCATCTCCTATTCTCATGACCTCACGTAGATGCATGCCACTGCTGAACAAAATCAGTCCTCCTGCCCAGGCGTGGTTATCACTGCGAAAGAGCCACCCCCATGACCATGCTACATACACAACTGAATCAGCTAGGCCAAAGTGGAACACCTGGATATGATTCTTGAGACCCTGCATTAGGAACTTTTCTCATCTTGGGGACTGCAAAGTAAAAATATAAAGTCCCTGCACTTCAGGGTAGCTGGCAAGTGAAGAATTCCTGTGTCTAGAATTTTTCCCACCACATAGTGGTCCTTCAACAAACTCCTGTTGGATGGGTTTAAATTATTATAGTTGATAACTAAGTTAAGAGTTTCCCTAAATACCCCAGTAGCAAAAGGCTACAGAAATAACAGAAAAGACTACCTGCTTAATTGATTTACCCATATAAATCAAATTAAATTACCCATATAAATCAAATTAAAGTCTTTCCCAATAAGAGATTTGGCAGATGCTTCATTTAAAAGCATTTGGCCCTGGCCAGTGTGGCCCAGTTGGTTGGGTGTCGTCCTGTGCACCAGGGGGTTGACAGTTCAGCTCCTGGTCAGAGCACAAGCCTAGGCTGCAGGCTCAAGGCCCAAAGGGGGCATGTGGGCATGAGGCAGCTGATCGATGTATTGCTATCACATTGATGTTTTCTCCCTCTCCCCATCTCTTCCTCTTTCTCTAAAAGTCAATAAAAAATCTTAGGAAAAAACCCCCACAACATTTGAAATCTATAAATCCTACACAAACATCACTTAAGTGCTTGAGTCTAAACTTCTATACTACTCTTTTCCCAAATGTGATTTGTAAGCACTAGATCATTTAAAAATCTGATGACTTTTTTTCTGAAAATAAAATCTATATCTAATTTTTTTTCCATTTAAACAGACAATCAAAACTAACTGGCTACCCAGAAGCAAGCATTACTACAGGGACATTTCTACCAAGTACCTTGAATACATTTTTATATTGTCTCTTCAAGGGGTAAAATATTCTTTACTGTGGTTAACAAGTTGGATGTTCACTTCCAGCTACCATTTACAGAGCACTTACATATCAGTACAGATACCCACCACCACAGACCCAGCTCTGCATCCAGAAAAAGAAGAGCAATGTGAAGAGAATTTGCAGAAAGCCATGTTCATAGTTACCCTCCTCCTCCTGTGATGTAGCTATAGCCGCCAGTGCCCAGGCCGTAGCCATAGCGCTCCCCCAGGAACACTGGTTCGTTGGACTCGTAGCAGCTAAGCAAGTGCTGGAGCCTGGAGATGCTAGGATTCCAAAGGGAACATAAGCAATGACTATTTAGTTTAGTAAATATTTTTATGGTTCTTACATCCCACTGGTTACATTATAGAATACGAGTCTAAAATTATTCAGAGATGAAATTCGAGTGATTTACAGAAGAAATCATTTTTTTAATAACAAAAAAAAGAACTGATGAGCACTATACATTATTGAAAACAGGAGAGAAATTGAGAAACATGGACCTTCCCATCCAGTTTTAATAAGCCCCTGGCAGCACGTGGCTGCCCAGTTTGGGTGGCCAGTTAATGAAGAAGGGTAACACAGCGCATACTATACATAACTCACTTCTACCCGCCCTGTTCCTGAGGGTGTGTGAACTAATTATCATATCTCCTCAGATGTACCTGATATATTTTTAAAAATTCTTTGTTTTTTAATTCATTTTAGATAGAGAAAAATGGAGAAAGAGAGAGGGGGAGAGGGAGAACGTCATCAATTTGTTGTTCCACTTATTCATGCATTTATTGGCTAATTTTTGTATGTGCCCTGACTGGGGATCGAATCTGCAACCTTGGTCTATTCAGATGACACTTTAACCAACTGAGCATCCCGGCAAGGGCTTTTTCATTCTTGATGGCCAAAAAAGGAACTTTTCAGGAACAAATGAGATCCATGTCAGGGTGGCTAGCAGGTGAGGAAGGGATTGTGGGTGAACAAGCTTTCTAGGAAACACTCCAATTATGATGCATAGCTGTGCTTAGGTTTCCCTTGAGTACGGCACCCTTGTCTGTGGTCTTTTTGTGTCTATTTGTTTATACCTCTGGCCCCCACACTTCTTCCTCATGTGTCAACAAGGATAGCTTACAAAGGGCATTGAGAAGGTTCAAGGCTGGTGGGAAAAAGGTCTGCAACTATAGCTGCTGTGAGAATGAAAAAAGATTCACAGGAAAATAAAATCTAGAAGTAACTTTTTTAAGGTGACACAAAGGTTGATGTTAAAAATAACTAGTTTTCCTATGTGGTAAGAACTCATACCACTTACACATGCCTTATAAAATCCTTCCACTGGTTCTTCTAAACTAGAGCTTTCACACCACCCAATGTAGGTTACCTCACATTAATCAGTGATCCTTACAAAAAGCTTTTCCATGCTGANCTTCCACTGGTTCTTCTAAACTAGAGCTTTCACACCACCCAATGTAGGTTCCCTCATATTAATCAGTGATCCTTACAAAAAGCTTTTCCATGCTAACTTTGGATTACATTTTTTCTTTCTTTTTTAATTCAATAATTCATATTTTTTATTTTTTAAATTCATGTTTATTGTTGACATTATTATAGATGTCCCCCATTATTCCCCCCTCTTTGCCCAACTCCTTCCAGCCCCCACCCCCATCTCCCCTGGACCTCACCACACTGTTGTCCATGACCATGAGCTATGCATGTATCTTCCTTGGCTAATCTCTTCACCTTCTCTTATCCAATTCCTCCCATACCCCTCCCCTCTGACATTCCTCAATCTGTTCCAATGTTCAATGCCTCTGGTTCTATTTTGTTAGTTTATTTTGCTCATTAGATTCCACATATAAATGAAAGCATGTGATGTTTGTCTTTCTCTGACTGGCTTACTTCACTTAGCATAATACTCTCCAAGTCCACCCATGCTGTTTCAAAAGGTAAGATTTCCTTTTTATTCACAGCTGAGTAGTATTCCATGGCATAAATGTCCCACAGCTTCCTTATCCACTCAACTACTGCTGGGCGCTTGAGCTGTCAACATCTTAGCTACTATAAATAGCGCTGTTATGAACATAGAGATGCATATATTCTTTCTTACTGGTGTTTCGGAATTCTTAGGATATATTCCCAGAAGTGGAATAACTGGGTCAAAAGGTAGTTCCATTTTTAATTTTTTAAGGAAACTCCGCACTGTTTTCCACAGTACTGCATTGCCTCCAACAGTGCAATAAGATTCCCTTTTCTCCACATCCTTGCCAACACTTGTTGTTTGTTGGCTTATTGACAGAAGATATTCTGATAGGTGTGAGGTGATATCTCACTGTAGTTTTAATTTGCATTTCTCTGATGACTAGTGCTTTTTAGCATTTTTTCATATGTCCACTGGGCATCTGTATGTCCTCTTTGTATTAGTGTCTTCAGGTCCTTTGCCCATTTTTTAATTGGGTTGTCTTCCTGGTGTTGAGTTGTATAAGTTCTTTATATATTTTGGAAATTAACCCCCTTATCAAGTATATCACTGGAAAATATGTTCTCCTATACAGTGGGTTCCCTTTTTGTATTGTTTTCATTTGCTGTACAAAAGCTTTCTAACTTAATGTAGTCCCATTTGTTTTTTCCTTTGTTTCCCTTGCTCTAGATGTATTGGCAAAAATGTTGCTCCAAAGGATGTCTGTGATTTTACTGCCTACATTTTCTTCTATGATTTTTATGGTTTTGTGACTTATATTTAAGTCTTTTATCCATTTTGAGTCTATTCTTGTATGTGGTGTAAGTTTGTGCTCTAGTTTAATTTTTTTTCATTTATCTGTCCAATTTTCCCAACACAATTGTATGCTCTTTCCTTCTTTGTCAAATATTGACCATAGAAGCATGGGTTGACTTCTGGGCCCTCTGTTCTGTTCCACTGAACTATATGCCTGTTCTTGTGCCAGTGCCAGGCTGTTTTGATTACAATGGTCTTGTAGCATAGTTTGATATCAGGTATTATGATATCTCCAACTTTGTTCTTCTTTCTCAAGATTGCTGCAGCTATTTGGGGTCTTTTTTGGTTCCAAATAAATTTTTGGAATATTTGTTCTTGATCTGTGAAATATGACATTGGTATTTTAAGAGTAATTGTGTTGAATCTATAAATTGCTTTGGGTAGTATAGACATTTTAATGATGTTAATTCTTCCATTCCATGAACATGATATATGCTTGTACTTGTTAGTGTCTTCCTCTATTTCTTTCTTCGGTGTCCTTTAGTTTTCTGAGTATAGATCTTTTACCTCTTTGGTTAAGTTTATTCTTAGGTACCTGTTGTTGTTTTTTCTTTCTTTTTTTCAATAGTAAATGTGATTGTTTTCTTAGTTTATTTTTCTTATAGTTTATTATTAGTGTATAAAAATACCAATAATTTCTGAATATTTTGTATCCTGCTACTTTGCCAAATTCGTTTATTAGATCTAGTAGTTTTTTTGTGGAGTCTTTAGCGTTTTCTATGTACAATATCACATCATCTACATATAATGACAGACTTAATGCCTTTTATTTTTTCTTCTTGACTGATTGCCGCGGCTAGGACTTCTAAATACTATGTTGAATAAGAGTGGTTAAGGCAGACATCTCATTCTTGTTGCTGATCTTAAGGCAAACACTTTTAGTTTTTGCCCACTGAGTATGATGTTGGCTGTATATATATATACAGCCTTTTCATATATAGCCTTTATTATGTTGAGGTATGATCCCTCAATTCCCACTTTGCTGAGAGTTTTTATCATAAATGGGTGCTGGATTTTATCGAATGTTTTTCGTGCATCTATTGATACGATAATATGTTTATCTTTCATTTTGTTTACATGATGCATCACATTTATTGATTTGCGAATATTGTACCAGCCTTACACCCCTCAAATAAATCCCACTTGGTCATGGTGCATGACTGTTTTTTTTCCTTAAATGTTTTATTTATTTCAGAGAGAGGAATGGAGAGGGAGAGATAGAAATATCAATGATGAGAGAGTCATTGGTCAGTTGCCTCCTACATGCCCCCTACTGGGGATCAAGCCCGCAACCTGGGCATGTGCCCTGACTGGAAATTGAACCATGACCTCTTGGTTCATAGGTTGATGCATAACCACTGAGTCACACTAGCTGGGTGGTGTATGATCTTTTTAATGTATTGCTGCATTTGGTTTGCTAATATTTTGTTGAGGATTTTAGCATCTAGGTTCATCACGGATACTGGCCTATAATTTTCTATCTGTGTAGTGTCTTTATCGGGTTTTGGAATTAGGCTAATGCTGGCCTTGAAAAAAAGCTTGAGGTTGTCTGCCCTCTTCTTGAATTTTTTGGAATAATTTGAGGAGGACAGGTGTTAGTTGTTCTTTGAATGATTGGTAAAATTCGTCTGTGAAGCCATCCAGTCCAGGACTTTTGTTTGCTGAGAGTTTTTTTAAATTTTTTTATTATTGCTTCAATTTCATTAGTTGTTATTGGTCTATTCAGGTTTTCTGAGTCATCCTAATCCAGCTTTGGAAGACTGTATGCTTCTAGGAATTTGTCCATTTTGTTCAGGTTGTCCCGTTTGTTAGCATATAGTTGTTCACAGTATTTTCTTACAACCCTTAGTATTTATGTGGTGTCAGTTGTTACATCCTCTCTTTATTATTTTATTTATTTGGGTCCTCTCTTTTTGTTTCTTGATGAGTCTGGCTAAAGTTTCATCAATTTTGTTTACCTTTTCAAAGAATCAGCTCTTGGTTTCATTGATCTTTTTCTATTACTTTTTTTAGCCCCTATGTCATTTATTTCCTATTTGATCTTTATTATTTCCTTCCTCCTACTTCCTTAGGGCTTTTCTTGTTGTTTTTCCAATTCTTTAATGTGTAGGGTTAGATTATTTGAGATTTTTTTTGTTTCTTGAGGTAGACCTGTAATGTTATGAACTTCACTCTCAGGACTGCTTTCATTGTGTCTCATAGATTTTGGGGAGTTGTGTGTTCATTTTCATTTGTTTCTAGGTAATTTTTTATTTCTTCTTTGATCTCATTGGTAACCCATTCATTGTTTAATAACATGCTATTTAGCCTCCATGTGTTTGAATGTTTTTTAGTTATTTTACTGTAGTTGATTTCTAGTTTCATGTCATTGTTAACCAAGAGGATTCTTCATATGATTTCAACATTCTTGAATTTGTTAAGACTAATAGTGTGTTCTAATATGTGGTCTATATCTTTGAAAATGTTCCATGTTCACTTGAGAAGAATGTATATTCTGCTGCTTTGGGATGAAATGTTCTG